GGCCTATTTTTTCAAGGCCAAAATCTGATATCTCCGTATTGTGTGACTGAAACCATCTTTGCAGCATTCCCTGGTGGCGCCTGAGATATCAGATAGCTTTTATGTCTGGTTAACCAGATTTGCTCATTACGTGTCTGATGCATGCAATATATCCAATCTGATATCTCAGCATTCCCTAGTGGCGCCTAAAAACCCACTAAGGTTGTGGTGATGTTTTGTCTAAAAAGAAAAAAAGTATGCAAGTCCCCGAGCTGCTCCAATTAAAATCGTAGGCCTACCATCCCATGGAAGAGGCAGAAAAGCAGAACCACCTAAACATGTAATGCTCAACAAAATTAACTGTTTATTTTTTAGACAGTAAAAGAATGACGCGGCCACAGCGGCAGATCCAGAACTTCGACTCAGCTAGAGTGGTCAGTCAACAACCGTATATCGATGTCATTTAAATTAAATAATATTACAAATTCTTTAATCTATATTCAAATGCACTAAAACATAGAAATCATATATTTATATCAAAATAAAGTTCAATACAATCAGAAATAATAATATAAAATACATGACTTCTTTGTGTTATTAATTCTTAACAAATTATTTGCTTGACTAGAAGCAGTGGTGGATGTACCACTACAAGAACTAGGTTGGGACTTTGGTTTAAGTTGAAAAAATCATTCCAAAATCTATATTAGAATTGAATGTTAGTCAAAGATTAAACGTAATCAAAATTAATTTTAAAATATGATTAAAATTTCAATTTTCAATTCCCAACATCAATTTATCACAAATTATAAATTCCCCAATTTCTCATTTTTCAATAATCACATATTCACATTTCACAATACTCAAATTAATTTTTAATATCACAATTGACATAAACTCAATACTCATAACTCATAAATTATTAAAGCATAAAACACTTAAAACAACATAAACATAAAATAATAGTCACCGACTCACCTAAAGTCTTGTCGACAGAAATGAAGGCGGAGGGATAGGAGGGCAAGTGGCGCTGCCACCGATGCAAGCTACTGCAATGGCCAAGAGAGTTGTGTTGCCATCGCGGTCAGGGGCAGGGGTTGTGGGTGAAGAGGATTGTTTTGATTTTTTGGTGGTTTTTATAATATGTAAATGTATGATTCTTATTGGGTTTTTTTTACTACAAGCCTAAAATCAATTGAAAATAGAAAAACCCAACTTTTTAAAAAAAGTGGAAATTACACCGAGCCCTGTTTTTTAAGTTTCGTTTTCAAAAATAAGATTTGAAAGTTTTTTGTACAAAAATAAGGTAATAATGACTTTTAAATTTAAAATAATTATATTATATAATTGAATTAATCTACTACATTACACCACAAACCCTAATCATTTCTCTCTCACTTTTTTCCCTTTATCACACACCATCACGACACTCCGACAGCGGCAGCTCAAGAAGACCACTCGACATGAACACTACCACGACTCCACGACCGCACAACAGGACACTGTTGTAGCAGCGCTGTAGTGTAGCGTTGTGGCACTTGTTGCCTTTGCACGGCAACGCTACCAACGTCACAACGTGATTTTGGATGGTTTTGGACAAATAGTTGTTTAGATCTGAGATACTGCAGTGTAGCGTTGTGGCACTTGTTGCCTTTGCACGGCAACGCTACCAACGTCACAACGTGATTTTGGATGGTTTTGGACAAATAGCTGTTTAGATCTGAGATGAGATCTGTGTTTTGGTTTTGAATATGGCGGATATGGTGGATTTGTGTGATTTGTGGAGATCGTGGTGGTAGGGGTGGTTTGGGAATTTTTTAGTGGGGCTGGTGGTTGCAGTGTGATGGAGATGGTGGTTGTGGCGGCTGTGGTTGTGGATTGGTAGTGCTTATGTTGGTGGTAGTGGTAGTTTGGGGTGGTTTTGGTGTGGTTGGGTGGTTGGCTACAGTGACCATGGGTCTAGCTACGGCGACGACGATGAGTATGGTGGTGGATTTGTGGTGGGCATGGTGGTCTGTGGGATCTGCGAGAAGCAAAGCAGATCTGTGAGAGGAGACGGTAGTTGTTCTGCGGTTGTGTGCACTGGTTTTGTTGGTGGCGGTGGTGTTGCTGGAGGGAATGATGAGGTGGTGGTCACAAGTTGGTGATTGGTGGTGGTCATAGATTATTTAATCATTTGTGATCATTAAATTGGTTAATCTGTAACCAATAAACAATATGTGACCTAAAAATTATTGTGATCAATAATTTGATAAACTGTGACCTAAATATAATTTGTGATCAATTAATTTGATATTTTATGACCACAAAATAAGTTGTGTGACTTATAAATTTTGTGATTTGTGATCGATGAATAAATTGTAACTTTTAAATTTTTAATTTGTGATCGATGAACAAATTGGGACGTATAAAATTTTTGAATTATTACCAAATTGCATAGATCTATATCTTAATATATTTAATTAATTAAATCATAAATAAATTTTAATAAAAACCTAATTTTTGAAATTTAAAACCACTATCCTTAATTTTAAAATGATGTATACTAAAAACATGGTTTATGTATTGTTCCCTTAAAAAAAATTGCCCAACAAAATTAAAAAGGCCCAACATTTTACCTTCTTCCTCCTTGGCTTGGCTTGGCTTTCCTCGGTGATTCCTACTTCAACACCATCCATGGAGCCAACAACTTCACAAACGCCACAAAAAATTCAACTTCGGAGGAGTCAGTACGAGCGGCCGCGCCACCTCACTGGATACTGGCTCCGCCACTACGCGGCCATCAGCTAATCATTGTAATTAATTGTTTTCGCTTGACTTCCTTGTTTTGCGCTGCGTCACAAACCAAGTACTATAAAACTGCAATACATGGGTGATGAGCCTGTGCCAATGTATCAACAAGATGATCAAAGTATCTTGCATTCTTTGTATATGTGAGGGAAATGAAAATGTTTGGGTTTTGAATCCAATTGCCGAATGGAGACAAAAGTATTCCGGTAGCATCTGAGATTTTTGCTGAAAGCTTGGAAGTCTTTTTGACCGTTGAGCCTGTGCTAATGGTGTAACAAGATGATGAAAGTATCTTGCATTCTTTTGTGTATTGTGAGTCAAATGAGGATGTTAGGATCTTGAGCCAATTTGAAGAAAGGTGACAAAAGTGTTCAGACAGCAATCTTAAAAATTTCCCCATTAAACTCAATCCCCGAGGGGCCCTGCCCCAAACGGGGTGAGAATTACTCACTTAATCGGCTATTCGGGCCGGGGTCGAGGCGGGGTCAGGTAATGAGGTCCTCGCCCCAGTTTACAAATTTGGGAAAGACGGGAGAAAGGGCCAATTTTTATATGGTAGAATATTATTTTTTTGTGTTAAGACGACCTGGGGACAAACATAGATAATTTTTGCCATTGTATCAAGGATGTCATGAAGATTTGAGGTTTGATTTTTCAAAAATGACCTTGGTTCCTTCATCAATTCAAACTGAGATGTTAATTAGATTGCGAGATATACTTTGGAGAATCCATTATAGTTAATATGTTGTGATCCTGTTCAACAAGATAGTACCACTAGTAAAGCATAAAGACGATAGAGAATTATTTTTTGTATTCTTTTTCTTGTTTAATCTGTTGTGCTCCCGTTTGGATAGTATTCCTTCTATTTCAAATTTATCTATGTACTTTAGCTTAATTTATATTAATTAACTAGTGGCGTCAGAGTCTACATTCAGCACTAGTGGTAGATTTGTTAGTCCACACAGAAATAGGTTTCATCCAAACACTTTGGAGGCTCTGATATGTGCTAGAGATTGATTATGGGCTAACATTCATGGTTCAAGAAATACAATTTCATTTGATTTTCATAATTGCGTTTTTCATTATTTATTTACTGTTAACTAGTTTTATTTATTGTTAGAACATTCACTATTTTCATCGTACTTTGGATGTTCTAGTACGCAGTTGAGTGACACTGATATTGAAGATGAGATAAATTGATTTTTCTTTACACTACAAAAAAAAACCGATTTCGCGACAAACAAATGTTGTCGCAAAAATTGAGTTTTTGTTGCAAAAGTAATTTAGCGACAACAACACGTTTGTTGCGGGTATTGTCGCTCTATATGAGTCACAGAATATGTTTTGCGACGACTTTCATACATTCATCGCAATATCAAAATCGCGACACTATTTGTTTGACGCAGAAAATACGAAATGGCAACACAATATCTGTAGCCATAATGTCGTCGCAATGTATATATGTCGCAAAAAATTTAAAGGG